GTGCGTGGCGGGATGAGCTCCGGCGCGATCTCATGGCGGAATGGCAGCAACGACTGTCGCAACCGAGGGCTGGGCTCGCTGCCATCGCAGCGGTAAGTCCCCTCTTTGAGGAGTGGCTTGAGAGACGCTACGGCGTCCTCACCTACCGCCTGACGCAGGTCCTCACCGGACATGGAAGTTTCGGGAGGTACCTGTGTCTGATGGGGCGGGAGGAAACGCCCGGGTGTCATCACTGCGAGGACCGCCCTGAGGACACGGTGGAACACACGGTGGGAGAATGCCCTTCGTGGGCTGAGCACCGCCGTGTCCTCAGGGAAGTGATCGGCGATGGCGACCTCTCGCGTCCGGGCCTAGTGCAGGCCATGATGCGGAGCGAGGGGGATTGGGATGCCGTCTCCTCCTTTTGCGAAGCAGTCATGCTAGCTAAGGAGGAGGCGGGACGCGTGAGGCAGCGAAGCGCTGCCTCCTCGCAACCCAGCCATCGCGAAGGACACACCGGGCGTCGGGGATCGCGGGACGATCTCCGGCCACCGTAAGCGCGGGCCTGCGGACGGCGAGCATGGGTGGCTCCCCGTCCGACCAGAAACAGACCCGAGCGTACGGCGCGCGCCTCAAAGAGCCATCAGACCACCACAGACGGGGCCCAATAGGGCCGATGCCGATTCGGAGTCGCGGAGAACGGGTAACCGGGGTTCCGGCTCGACGTGCAGGAGAAGGAACGGCGTGGTTTTTAGTCAGTAAGAGTCTGACACTGCCTCTCGCCTCATCCAGGCGGGAGCAGTCATTCGATGATTTTCCCCCCTTAAAAAAAATAAAATGGATGGGTTGCTGTGGACTAGTAAATGGGGAACTATGGATAACTATGGCACCTGCCGAAACAATGTAATTACTACACGTAAAAATGGCAGGCGGAGACTCGCCAACTCACCGACCGGACCCCGGGAATGGTTGCTAGTTGCTAGATATAGCAACAGAGGGGCAACGAGATTGTGAGTGGCTGAAGGGTTAAGAAACTACCACCGCTTTCTACTCAGATCGTCTGCTCCAGCCGAAGCTTCCTGCATCCCTGGCCCACTCGCGACTTACGAATAGTTTCTTACCCTCCGAGCAGGATCACTACTCTCGCGACTCCACTCTGGACGGCCAATGAAGGCAAGCCGGAGGTGGGAGACCTGTTCCTTGTCATTGTTCACTCCAGCCAGCCAAAAAAGGCAAGCTGGAGAGTAAGGAACGGTGACTTCTCCCTGGAGCACTCGGGATGATGGTAGCCCGCGGGATCGCTATGCCCGTCACCTCGCCTCAAGGATCGGGATGAAATTTGGAAAATGGATAGATGCTCTAGTTAGAATAACACATAGGATACCTTTTATTTTTTAATAAAATTTCAAGTCTCCATAGATCTCATGAGTTCGTTTCATTAGTGATTTTGGTCAAAACTAAAAAAAATAAGATTATTTTTTCTCAAAATTGATAAGTTTTATCGTACGAAAGCAAAACTGAAGGTCTGAAAATTGTCTACAATTATTTTTCTAGGATTAGCCGTTTTTGAGATATAGCTGTTCTAAGAATAACGATTTATAGAGGTACAAACTAGTGTATTATGATGTTTTTGCAGTAATCTGTGAACCTAATCAATGGACCGATGTCACTCCATTTTTTATTGCATGATATAATATTGGTATTTAAGTTTTTCTATTTCTTTTTCAATATTTCTGATTAATTTTCATTTGAACGATTTGCTATTTTTCTATAAGCTCCAAAAAACTTGAAATTTTAAACCTTGATTCCGAATACTATGAAATGGCGCTCAAAAATGAGGTTGCTCGGGCTTGTTTAAGATAAAGCCATATACTCTAAAGCAATTCGCATTCGTGAATATCGTCGTCAAAATTATGACACGTTACATCACTATGACTTAACAATTATTGAATTCGGGATGTACTGTGTGTACCTCGCCACATATACAGTATTTTAATCAATTCAGGGTTACTGCTGTACACTGCATCGTCGTTTGCAACACGGTGATGTGTCCTGGTCCAGTGGGAGCGTACCTGCAGGTCCCGCGCCACGACGTTGGCCACGAAGCGCGTGTCCTGCACCAGGCGCAGGAAGTGCAGCGCGGCGGGCGGCGGCCAGCGCCGGCCCGCGCACCTGCCACACGCCGCCCGTTACTCTCGACTGTACTCTATATGACTCGACCAACAATGACGGCCTGCGCCGGCAGCGCGGCCCAGCAGCGCCGCAGCGGCCGCAGCGCCGCCACGCGCACCGTGTCCACCGTGCCGTAGTCCACGTGCCGCACCTGCCACACGCCGCCCGTTACTCTCGACTGTACTCTATATGACTCGACCAACAATGACGGCCTGCGCCGGCAGCGCGGCCCAGCAGCGCCGCAGCGGCCGCAGCGCCGCCACGCGCACCGTGTCCACCGTGCCGTAGTCCACGTGCCGCACCTGCCACACGCCGCCCGTTACTCTCGACTGTACTCTATATGACTCGACCAACAATGACGGCCTGCGCCGGCAGCGCGGCCCAGCAGCGCCGCAGCGGCCGCAGCGCCGCCACGCGCACCGTGTCCACCGTGCCGTAGTCCACGTGCCGCACCTGCCACACGCCGCCCGTTACTCTCGACTGTACTCTATATGACTCGACCAACAATGACGGCCTGCGCCGGCAGCGCGGCCCAGCAGCGCCGCAGCGGCCGCAGCGCCGCCACGCATACCGTTTCATGAACGGTATCAAAACCGGAGAGGATGGGTATTCAGTTTATCGTAGGCGCGATACAGAAAATGGCGGTCAGAGCACTACAAATTAGGGGCAACATGGTGACGATAGATAACAGGTGGAATCTTCCAAACTCCCTGCTATTATGTAAGACTTTTAACGCTCATATAAACGTGGAGTATTGCCACTCTGTCCAAGCCAACATGTATATATGTAAATATATAAATAAAGGTTCAGATCAGGCAACTTTTAGCCTTAGGAACCCACACGATGAGGTCGAAAACTATTTAAATGGTAGGTACATAAGCACATCTGAAGCTGTCTGGCGCTTATTTGAATTTCCCATTCACAACCGGTATCCTACTGTAGTGCATTTGGCTGCTCATCTAGAGAACGGTCAAAGGGTGTATTTTACACCAGGGACAGCTCATCAAGTGGTCCAAAACCCACGCAATACCACATTACTGGCATGTTTTGCTCTCTGTAAATGAAGATGAATTCGCGAAAACTCTTCTGTATCATGAAGTCCCGCAGTACTATACATGGCCAAATAATAACTTCACTAGAAGGAGGCGTGAAGATGTAGTTGGATATCCGGGGATATAAAAGATGCCGCCAGAATACCCACGATTCCTACTGATTTGCCTATACCCTTCAAAAGGCTCCAATTACCAGTAAAAATTTCTTTCGCACTAACAATAAACAAATCCCAAGGCCAAACATTCAAATTAGTAGAAATTGTTTTTATAATAACTATCGTTACTTAATTAAGTAGGAATTGATTTACGAAAAGAATGTTTTACGCATGAGCAACTTTACGTTGCCCTATCACGGGTCGGGGCTCCCGACCATCAGTATATGTATTTTGTTACCAGAAAATAATTTAACGTCAAATGTTGTTTATAGAGAAGCTCTACAATAATCGCTTTATTTATGTATCCTAAAACAACCGGGTTACAATTCGGGACTCCCGGCAGAAGTGAGAACTTAGTATTAATTACAATGAAATATTTTCATCATTAACAACTTGAACATCCTCATAAACACAATATATGCAGCCTGTGGATAATGATGATGTCGTTTGTCCATCTTTCGCGGCAAAACAGAGTGACGAAATGATGTTTTTTTTAAGTGGCGATAGTTAAATAAAAGGATGTACAATGACATGGGCTATATACCGCCCAACGAAGTGGGTGCGGGTCAGCTAGTTTTGTAATATATAGGCCTCATATTCATGTGTTTGTGATACACACTTTACGAACTTGCCATTATCTCCTGTCCTGAGCTGTATTTGATGATCCGCATTTGGAGATTTCTTATCTTTATGTCATACTTGTTGCTTTTACAAAAGTAATGTATAGAGCTCCTTTCGCCTGCGATACAGGATTGTCCTAGTGCAGGCATCTAACTTTATGAGATCAATTTTACTTACTTGAAACATATTTTGTATTTTGCATTTTTGAATTATGAATAAATTTTATTATTATTATTTACATATATTTATTTAAAATTCTCTATAAATTACATTTTTAAACACTACTTATAAAATAAAAATAATATTTAAAAATATAAAAAATAGGAGCCGACCAGTAGCGGGAGCATGGTCCAAGCTACCGGTGGTTAGGGCTCCAGAGACAGAAACCTCCTCACGATACGTGCCGTTTCTAGGAGAACTGCCTTCTGTATCAGGCCCTTGATCCATCCACCTAACGCCAGCCTCCTAAGATGGATGTCGAGGCTTTTAGGGATTAACCCATTGGCCGACACGACTATCGGCACAATGATAGCCGAATCCACACTCCACATGTCGACAACCTCGTGAGCTAAGTCTAGATATTTTATTTGTTTATCTTTCTCAGCTTTCACGAGGTTCTCGTCATGGGGAATGGTGACATCGATTATCATCGTGCGGCGTACTTGTCGGTCTATCACCACTATGTCAGGTTTATTGGCTACAATAGTCCTGTCAGTAATGATAGACCGGTCCCAGTACAATGTGATATGGTCATTTTCCAGAACTGGGTCGGGCACATACTTGTAGTACGGTACCTCAGATTCAACAAGTCGATAGTGTAAAGCAAGTTGCTGATGGATAATCTTGGCTACTTGATTATGCCTATGCAAATATTCACTGTTAGCCAAACGACCACAACCAGAAATAATATGTCTAATGGATTCACCAGGACTATGACATGCCCGACATATGTCAACCGTCCCATCCTTAATTATATATTTCCGGTAGTTATTCGTAAGGATAACTTCGTCCATAATTGCACAGACAAATCCTTCAGTTTCTCCAAAGAGATTACTGAATCGTAGCCAAGACACGGACGCTAGAAAATCTACACTGGGCCCATGAAGGGCCCGGAAGAAGCGTCCGTGGAGCTCCTTGCTATGCCATATCTCCTTGCGATCATTGACGCTCAGTACCACAGGTTTGCGCCAGTTCTCTTTTGCCAAGGATAGCGGAGTGAATCCATTGTCCACCGCTGCTACTTCTCGATGCATACCCTCGTTGACTTTCAGGAAATATTCCCTGAGGCTGCACACCTCACGGTTGTGAAGGGTCTTAGCATTTAATAAGCCTCGACCACCACACTTCCGCGGGATGTACAACCTCATGACCGACGAACGAGGGTGATGCATGCGATTTGCAGTCAGCAGGGTCCGGACTCGCCTATCCAGGGTGTCAAGTTCAGTCTGAGTCCACTTGAGTATACCAAAAGAATACATTAGGACTGGCATGACCCAACCGTTAAAGGCTCGCACTTTGTTTCCGCCTGATAAGGAACTTTTCAGTACCCTATTCAGGCGGCCAAAGAAGCGCTCCTGTAACGATTGCTTCATGTCCGGTCCATTAATGCCTAATCCTTCTGACATACCCAGGTACTTGTATGTATCGTTTGCGGAGAGTGATCTCAGCTTTGTGAAATCTGAGAGTTCTAGACCCTCAGATTCCACAATCCCTCCTCGCTTTACATGCATGACCGCACACTTGTCTACTCCAAACTCCATTCTGATGGAACTACTAAATTTTTCAGTTATATTCAGTAGTTCCATCAACTGTTTCTTGTTTGGAGCAAACAACTTGAGGTCATCCATGTAAAGTAAGTGGGATATAACTAGACCCCTTCTCCGCAAAGGATAGCCTAGCCCTGAATCCTCCAGTAGAGTACTTAGAGGATTCAAGGCCAAGCAGAACCATAGTGGGCTCAGGCTGTCACCCTGGAATATTCCTCGTACTATCCTTACAGGTTCTTCATTCCCTTGGATTTGTCTACATCCCGGATAGCAAAGCACGGTGCTCCACTGCCTCATACATGACTCCAAGAAGGCGCGTAAACTTGCATGTATTTTATACAACTCCAGCACCTTCAGGAGCCATGTATGTGGCACAGAATCATATGCTTTTTTATAGTCTATCCAGCATGTAGACAGATCTTTTCGGGACCGACGAACCTGTTGGCTAACAACCATATCAATGAGGAGTAGCTCCTTAGTTCCACGAGACCCCTCCCTACATCCATTTTGAGATACCGACATGATGGAATTTTTTTTAATATGTTTTGTTATTTTTGTCCTCAAAATGGATGTAAGAAGTTTATAGACCGTTGGTAGACATGTAATTGGTCTATAATTTTTGGGCTCAGTGGAACTACCTGATTTATGGAGCAAGTGGGTAACTCCTGTTGTTAGAAATTGTGGTAACGACCCAGTTTCCAAAGCTGCCTGGAAGTGTAATGCTAAGCGAACGTGTGAACTCTTGAACCATTTAATCCAGAAATTGTGCAGTCCGTCCGGCCCCGGTGATTTCCAATTCGGGACCGAACAGGCTGCACTGGCTACATCAGAGGAGGTGATTTCTACCTCCTCCATCTCTGGTATAGTCTCACACCTTCGCTTAACATCAAACATCCAGTCACCTTCTGTGTGGCTAACAGGTACCGACCAGATGTTGCGCCAAAATGTGCTAGTGGCATCATCATCCGGTCGCCGCCCGTCAACCACATCTTGGTTGGATCGTTCCCAATCTCTGTATACCCACCTCTGATCTCTTTGGAACATGCGATTCTGAGTATAGCGCTCCACTCTCTTTTTGTAACGTCTAATACGGTTTGCCCATGCATAAACTTTCTGCTTCAGGAAGTCGATGCGCTCTGTAACACGTGACAGGTATTCATGAGGACTGGTTTCAGTCCCCACAAATGCACGTCTTACAAAGCGCATCACTCTAGGGCGAGTATTGCCCTCCCTGAAGCAGGATAGTTTGCCAATGAGTACCCTGGCCTCACTGATACGACGCTCTATCCTATACTGCCAGGCAGGTACTGCTGGTTTTGGTCGGACTGCTGCGTCAAGATTTGGGAATCTGACGTTAGCCACTCGACAAGCAGCTACTGCCCCACAGTACAAGATTGAGTGTGTATCATAGAGGTTTTCGCTACTCTCAAAATATTTTTTAAGTAGCGAATCCAAGGCGCTCACCAGCGCCCTATTTTTTCTACACATGGGCAAACGTGGTAATTTTGGTCTTAAATTGCTAGGAGCAAGTCTATACTCACGAACCGCATCCTCCAAAGCACTCCTCAATCGTTCATTGCACTGAGTACTCACTTGTTCAACCCTGTCATCCTCCACACCAACGATAGGGGTGGTTGGCGTCACACATTGTGAGACTATAGGTGTTTGTGCCACCGATTGTGGTGGTGCAGGGACGACACGATTGCGCAGTGCTTCTAGGCGTAGCCGATCAAGCGCAGCCTCATCCAACCTGCGATTGCGTTGGATGACCCGCACCTGATCCGACAGTCGTTGGGCCGAGACGTTGATAGATGGCTCAAGAACCTGAAATATAGAAAGCATCCTTTCACGGTACGCAGTGAGGTTAGTCCCTCCCTCTGTAGCACCGTAGTACGAGCGCATGACGTTCTCATTTATGGTTTGAGACCATTTCATGCGCCGCACACAACCACCGGTAGCGGGGACCCGTCCCGGGGCCTGTTGGCCCCTGGCTCCCAAGCCCGTCGGTGGCCGGCCTCTCCCCGGCCGACGTACAGGTGTCGGCGACGTCGGCGGGGAGAAATAGTCGTCGCTCGAGCTCGACGCAACTGCTGTCACCGGTGATCCTGCGGAGCTGGGGTCCGGTGACGGCGAGGCGGAGCTGAGCGACGAGTCCGGAGGTGGTGGGGGTGCGCCTTGTCGTCTTCTGGCTCTCGTCAACATCAACGTAACATTTTATTTTTCTGTTTCATAATCTTCGTTTTGCATGTTGTCAATTTGTCACTGTCAAATTCCATTTTTCTTCATTTATTGTTTGTATAATGCTATTATTTGTTGATTTTGTGGTAAGTATATATTATTATTATTATTATTATTTTAAACGAAAATACTTGCAATGAATCTGAACAACTGCATCGCCAATAATCCGCTGCTCGTTCTACTTTCTACGTTCTGTCTAGACATGAATTGTACATGAGTGTATATTAATTTCTCCTAAAATACACAGGAAAAGAAATATTTCAAAAAATCTGTTTCTGGTCGCCATTTTTCCAAGATGGCGGCGCGAGCAGCGCACGTACGAGGATGCAAAACGCAAAATTTTCAAAAGTTCCGGGAGAAGACATTCTAGGTAGAAGTACCAAATGACTGAGCTATTTACCTCACGGTTTCGGTTATAGCCCTAAAAATAAAAGATGAAATAAGCGTTGAATGTTGAAACTTTGTTGTATAATCAAGTTTCACGCGGGTAAAGTCGCGGGAAATAGGTAATATGTAATATAACAATAAATGTTTATTTGGTAAACGGGGCGGCCAGGAAGTACCTTGACGGTGTCGCTGTCGAGGATCTTGACGATGAGCGAGCGATGCCAGTCGTTCTCGTAGAGCGAGCTGCAGTAGTGGCCGACGCGCACGGCGCCCCGCGCCAGCGCCCGCGCCGCGCCCGCGCCGTTGTAGTACCGCCTGCACACACAGCCCGTCAGTCGGCGCCCAGAGCCCGCCGCCCGCCCGCCCGCTACTTACGTCATGTCGTCCATCATGTCCTCCATGGCGATGTTGTACTGCTGGCCGAGGCGGATGAGCCAGAAGTGCGAGGGCGAGTAGACCTCGCCCACGATGACCTCGAGCATGGCGCCGGGCACGCAGTCGTGTAGCGGCAGCGCCGGGATGCTCTCCGAGTAGCTCACGCAGTCCTCCGGGAACACGTCCGGGTCCTGCAGGGCGATCGCTTCCAACTTAGCACCGATGTTAATAAAACGGTCATTTTCGTTTTTGTTCTAAGTGGATTGAAGAGAAATTGTAACAATAAACACGTGTATGTGCAAGTTAAACAGACATGACAAAAGCCTTTGATGATGTTAATCATAAAAAGCTTTTGTCAAAACTAAACGCTTATGGCATACGCGGACATGCTCTTGATCTATTTAAGCAATCGTAAACACCTGACAGAAGTTGCCAGTCCGTATGAGATCTAAGCAAGAAATAAAATATTTATCTTCCTATAGGCATCATCAGACCCTTATTGACAATTACATCCCACCTAGGTGTAAAGATCTTATCGATACAAATTAATCAAACCCAAACACAAGGTAGCTACTGTTAACCGTTGAGGAGTTCCCTCGACTGGCTCTCGGCTTCATTATCAGATCCGGGGGCGTAGCGAGCGCCGTATTTGCCGAATCAATTATACGGGGCCCCCGAAAAACTGGGGCCCCCAACATGCGTAAGCAAAAGTTAATAAAATTTTCCCAATTTTTGTTTATATTTCAGTAATCGCAAAAGTCAAAATAAACGATTTTATCCTAGCTTTAGCATGCGTTCACAGTTTGGCAGAAACTTTACTAAAGCTAAACTAATCATAGTCCGATAATTTGGGCAAAGGGGCTCCATGAGGGAGTTGTCTGGACAGGTTTCTGGTTTTCACACAAATTATTAGTAACTATTTTTATGCAAAAAAAAAAAAATTCTCTTGTGGGAAATGTTTACTCTTCATGAAGGCCCCCAAACAAAATTTTATACGGGACCCCGCCAAGGCACGCTACGCCACTGATCAGATCGACTCCAAACCTTTATCATATTGTGGCGGTTTTCAATACTTAAAGAAAAAATTAACAAATGCACTAGTCGCCCCTATCATTTTTATAAGTTCCCCTCGGTTTCCCAGGTCTTCCAATATCAGATCCTGATTTCCTTATCATGGGACCATTCTGGGACTATCTTCTTTCCAATAAAAAAATAATTTTCAAAATCGGTTCATAAATAACGGAGATATCGGCGAACACACATAATACGGTAGAATTGAGAACCCCCTCCTTTTTTTGAAGTCGTTTAAAAACAGTAAACATTGATGCAATACCAGCCGCTTATCATGGCCTGGTAGTGTCAAATGTCAGATTTGGTATTATATTCTGGGGCAACTGTAGTGAGCGGGAAAATATTTTTAAAGCCCAAAACATTTTGAAATTAAGTTGCTATTTTACACGTCTTCGTAAACGAAATTCTCTAAGTCCGTAACTATTGAGAATATCCTCGTGGTTCTCGCGTCCAAGTAATCTGCTTGAGTGGCTTGAGTTGCAGTTGGTTTGCTTGAGTTTTTCTGATACCTTCACGAAAGTCACTTGAAAATTGGATCGAAAACTTTACATACGTTTTTTTATTAAGTGCATGTTTGTTTTACTGAGCAAAAGTATGGCGATAAGAAAGGTGCACTATTGTAGAAAGTCTTAAATTGAAAATTCCGATAGCTTTTTGATTGAGATACCTTCTTTAAGCATATTGGAAAATCACATAATAAAATTAAACTGGTTATAACTTTTGAACCGTTAAGAATCGGAGACGTCCTCTATGACCCTGTTCACCCTGTATATGTATATTTCATTTTTTTTCTTGTTTTATATTCAGGGCGTTTCGGGGGCAATGAATAGATCTAGCTCGGTTTCAATTACAGAAAATGTCGTTTCATTCGTGTTTTCATGGAATAAAAATCGTTATTAGAATACGAAACTAACTTTCACCATAACTTATAAAGATAAAATAGCTCAGCAGGGAGAGCGGACGCTACGCGGGACATTCGAGTTCATACCTCGGTCCGAACGTTTCTATTATACATATTTATCTGTTTTCTGTTTTATGTTTTGTTCTTTTTTCTTTTACATTTAAAAATAAATCACTGAGCAATGCTCGGTCAACTAAGTAATGCAATACAAACCCATACTTTATTTTATTGACTCGAGAATCGAGACAATGTTCAATAACTATTCATATCACTATTCAAACAAAACCCTGGTAGGTAGGACAAGACGTCCGTTAACATGGAAGCGTCCATCTCAAACAGTGTTAGTACGATGCTCACAAAGTCGATGCCCGGCAAGGCGTCGTCGGGGTCGGGCGCGGGCGCGGGCGCGGCGGGCGCGCGCGGCTGCGGGCGCAGGCGGGGCGCAGGCGCGGCGGGC